TCCAATGCTCTGAAGGCAAACTCTTGGTATAAACTATGTCTGCAATGAAACCATTGGCAGTTGGGCAGAGGTAGGATTTGCTTAATAGGGTGTCTACATAATGCCTGCTTTGAAAATGGTTTGTGAATTTAAATTGAGACCTCAAGCGGCTGCTGCATCTTTACAGCAGTCATGCAATGCAAATAATGTGGTAAACACCAAGCCAATAATGGTCCATATTACTTTTTCTAGTGAGCTACATAATAAAATATTTACAGAATAAAATTGCTAATAGCAATTTGCAGAGGACATTGCCTAACAGGATCTTGGGTAGAACATTTTATATAATTCCTTATCAGAATTTACATTTTTAAGAACTGCTTACTACAAAAATGCCCACATATTCATAGGTGGTCATTTGGTAACTCACAAGGTTAGTCTTTTCAGAAATTATTCAGGTATAACTGTCAAACATGCATCTTGTTAGCATTGTATAACTTCATGTGTTTTTGATACTTCTGTATTGAGGAGAAAGAATCTTGAGCTGTATATGGACAGAGTGGCACTAATACAGTGCATTTGAGAAAAGTGCAGGCACGAAAAATCTTAGGACTGGACCACTTAAGTGTATTCTGTTTGGGCCTGTTCTTACAGTCAGTCTGGAAGTTGAAGCTAGTGCAGAATTCAGCAGCTTGACTGGTTTGAGGGACTGCCCGCTTTCAGCACACAATTCCTTTACTGAGGGAACCACATTGGCTACCTATTTGCTACCAGACCTTAAGGTTTTGGCATTAGTGTGCACATTGCTAAACAACTTGGGATCAGGGTAATGGAGGGAGTGCCTTCTCATCAATGTGCTTGGTCCTTAGATTGCATGCTTTGGGTGGTTCAGCATAGACCCATGGCACAATTGGAGTCCACTTGGAGAAGAGCCTTTAGCATGGAAGTTCTATATTTCTGTGGCACATTCTGACTTTGGAAGTCAGACAGGCTCCATGTTGTTCCCAGAGCCTCCTGAAAACTTTTTATTTCAACAAGTCTTCTTTAACTGGTCTGCCAATTCTAGTGATACCCTGTTTTTAACATTTTTTTAAAAAAAAATTTCTCTGTTCTGTAATCAATATAGAGCTTCTCTTCACACATTTTCTCCTGGTGAACAAATGTGGGGGGTCAGGGCAGGAGAAAAAAAATGAATGACCAGTCAGTAACCTGGTTCATGCAGGTGTGGCACTGGGTCCATCCTTTGTGTATTTCAAAGCTGTTGCACTGGATCCCACAGACTGTGCCTTGCAAATAAACCTTGGTTACAGTTCAGTAAATCTTTTCAGAGCCTATGGCCTCTTTCTCCTCAGACCAGAAGCAGTGTGTGTGGCCTTCAACCATTTTCTGGTTCCTCCCAGAAAACACAACCCAAATCCTGCAGGGTTTTTTTTTAAACTGTTACAATGAGGCCTGCATCCTTTTGAGGCCAGCTGTCACTCTCATTATCTTCAGTTGCAGCATTTTAAAATGAACCAAGAGTCATTTTTACTATACCATTTTTGCACTTCATGGCAAGGAAATCTAGAAAAGTGGCTTTCACTGTGGCCTAATCAGATGGTCCAGGCCAGAGGTTGGTTGTTTTGCTTTTAGCTGGAGTGGCTTTTAATGGCTGTGTTCAAAAAATGTGTGGTGACTTCTCCTTTTTTTTGTTTCAGTAAATAGTACATTAGGATTTAAATTGGTGTGTTTATCCTGTAGATTGATCAAGTTATTGCTGTATGCCACATCACCCCATGGGGAATTCTTCACAGAGGGCTTGCAGTCTGCATAATATGGACAGGGTGGGGTTGAGAAAGAGAAGAAATAGTGAGGTATTATCAGGACAGTCTGATAAAAGATAAATTTAACAATATGTGTTGGGATGTGTGTTGTGGGGGAAAGCTGTGAGAAAAAAGTGGGTCTCTAATGCTTAGCTCAGATGAAACTGTGTTGGAGAGACCAAGCTATGTTTTGTTCCCACCCCCATCTGCCTAGCTGCTTTAATATTGGTGAGGCCTGCAGCCGATTCCCAGTTCTGAGGTGTTATCTGAACGACAGGAGGTCTTAATTTGCTCAGGATCACTGGACATGGTTAGCCCTTTTCTCTCTTCTCACTTTCTTGAATTTTTGCTTTAAGCATTAACAGTTTCAGATGCAAATCTTTCTGGTGTTGTTCTTTCACTGGCCTGTACTTCCCCTGTCTTAAAAATATGAGATACAATAAAAATATTTTTGAGCGGAGCATAGAGACTGCGTTGACTGTGTGTGTATTTAACCTTCATGCTTAATTGTGTAACCCATTATAAAGTGTTGATGCTTTGTTCCTAAATTCTCTACATGAGGTGGTGTGCATTAAAGTGTATTTATACTTTTTCGGATTAATTAGCTGTGACCTTATGAACTGCTGTCCTTGTTTAATTGGTGTCTCCAAAGCACAGTAATAGCATAAATCATCTGATAATGAGATTCAGAGCTCACTGCAGACATATATAATAGCACTGCATTGATAACAGGAAATGAAATTTGTTGATTGGGTTATACTCGCTCTCTTCTGGATCCACCTGCTTGCCTTCAAGAGTAGCCCAGAAATTAAGCATGTAAACTTGAACCCATTACTTAGTTTTATTCCTAGCAAGTCACTTTTCCAGGTGAAAAAAATAAAATGGTGCCAATCCTAGTTGTACCAAACATGATGTACTTGGATTTTGGCATCTGGTATTCAGGGGAGGCTTGACTGAAATGAATGACAGTGCTGAAGCAGTTGCATTCAGATGTAACTCAAAACCATGGTTTAACCTGCCTGGCTTACACTTTCTTCATAAGTTGAAAGACTCGTCAGACCATAGTTTACTGCTGCATGCAAATACACCCATTGCAGGCAAACACAACAAACAATATTTGAATTGTAGATGGCCTGAAAATCAGAATCAGAGTTGAGCTAGGGTTTGCAGCATTCCTGTGTGAGCTGAGGAGTGGCAAAAAGGACTGGCTCACTGCTGCTTATTCTTATAGTACAAACCATGGTTTAGAATTACATCTGTCTGTAGCTGGCAATATCCAGTGCTGGGGAGAGTTAGGGTACAGGGAAATAGGAAATGAACAGTAAAGATATAAAAAGACAGGCCAACCAAATGCTACCTCATAAATTATCATGTTACTTGGGGTTTGATAAATTTTGAATGTTAAGTACTGAAGAGCTTATGTATTTACCAACATGACAAAAATATCTTTCTTTGTTTTACATGGTTAGGGACTTAATATGATAGAGTATAACTGAAAGAGTCATTGACTTCAATTATGTCCAATGGTACGCAGTGGCAAAGAAAGTTTGATGAGGTTAGACATACCATGTTTCAAATTCCCTCTGCTCAGGAAGTGTAGGCACTGTTTCTTAAAGGGAGAAAATATGGAAACATATAGCATTTTTTGCATACCTATTTTTCGAAGTGAGGAGGGAGGGAGAAGCAAACAGGCACCCAAATAAACATAGCTTTAAAGCTTTAGGGAAGCATCAGCCTTTGCCTTGAAAACTTTCAGTGTAGCCATACAACACTGATAAAACAGTATTATGGAAATGGTGCAATAAAATATTTACAAAATGTATACTGTGAGAGTTCATTTCCCCCACCTAACTACGTGTACTAAAATAAGTTGAATTGAAAGGTGCAGTGTAATCTCCTGAAGTTGAAAAAACCAGAACCTGTCATGATTGCAATTCTGAGGTTTACCAAACTCTTGAATTGAATACCTTTTTATATGTAGCTTCATCTTTCAAAACTTTCAACTGTGAACAGTCCATTGGGAGTGGCACAGGTTTTCAGTCCCAGCTAGTGCTTTATATTTATTTCTGTTTTCAGGGTGGTGTTGCTGGTATCCATGCCCATGTTCTGGAAAGAAAACAAGGGCCTTGTAACAAAGTCGCTTTTGTTTGCCCAAGAACAAAAACAGCTGCATTCAGACCGAACAATAAAAATAAACTCCTGCTGAACTACCTTCTAACACACTAGGGTTCTGGAGAGAGGAAACCAGGGATATTTAGAGGCATAAAGTGACTCATTGTGTGAGCAAAGGAATGTTATAAGGCCAGTCTGTGGCTTGGAGTAGCATCTGTTACCTTTCTAGCCAGTACTGAGAGGGCATTTAGGAAGGAAGGGAAAAAATTAAATTGAATAATGCTCAATACTGTGATGGCATTGTACTAGGCTAACTTTCAACTTACTGTCCAATCCACAAGCTACTTAAGCCAAAGAACTTGGTTTTAGTCCCACTGATGTTCCACATAGAACTTTAACCTATATATAAGAAAAGTATCAAAAGATTAATAAAATAATAAAATATTAAATTTATGTTCAGTGTTAAATAAGCAGAGCTAAATGCTTTTCTGTTATCAACTGTAAGCCAGCTAACAAATAATGACTTTTTAAAAGCATAACTTAACAGCACTTTGAATAGTAATAATAAATCTGGCATTGTTGTTCCTTGTTTCTGTCTCTGACATTTTATAGAAGCCAATAATGGGCAGTGTTGTTCTGCAAAATGGATAACAATGAAATATTTATTTCTGCTGGAAATGGTTTCCTAGAAACTTTTATGTAAATTATTAATTTTAAATAGGTACAACTGTTTTGGGTTTTTTTTTTGTAACTTGGTGTATGATACAAAATTCCTCTTAACTGGAACAGCAGTAAGAACAAATCATTTTGTATAAGCTTGCATTTAAGCACAGGCTTGGTAGCCAAAGGTGACCAGGAACTGCATGAAGGCAAGTGAGGAAGAATGAAACAGTCCATCTGTATTCTGTGCTCAAGGAGAAGCAAAGCATGCTATGAAGGAAGGCCCTTCTTCCTCATGCAGCTCTGTGTCCCTCTGCCATCTCCCAGCAGGCTAGTATCTTTTGCAAGTCAGTAGCTTTTGTGAGTATATTTACAAGGCTGATTTTGTGAATAACTGTTAAATATTTGCTTTAAATCTTTTTTTTTCTTTTGTGTGCTTTTTTCTAGGTCAGTTTCATGAATTCAAAGGAAACTTACCAGTGATTTCTGGGTCCCAGGGTTGGTTTTCTTGTGTTTTTGTAAGTACTGCTATGTTTCAGTCTGTATTTCTACCTGCTAAGAAGTACATATGTGTGTGTGTTCCTTTTTAAAGGTTATGCACTGATTTTCTACTTCATGTGTTCAAGGTTACATATAGAATGTAAAAGCATGGTTAAAACTGAGAGTAGTCTGTGCATGGGGCAGATCAGCTGAAGGCCACTTGTCTCAAACATGTCACAACTTGGTTCTCTGCTGCACACTAATTAATGTATTTATTATTAACATATTTATACCATCTTATCTGCTTAAAAGCTGTCAAGATATTCACAACAGTTTAAAACACAATAAAAACATTGCAACCAGAGTGTTAATTTCAAGAGGTCCTTCAATGTGACCCTTTGAAGCATTCTGCTACTCATTCTTCTTCATACTCTGCATGCAGTTGGGAGGTACATCAATCTCACATAATTTGCATGTAGAGTCTCCCAGGTCTGAAAACTGGCTTAGGTCCAAGTAAACATGTTTCAGATCACAATGGAGAGCATGGTTACAATTCCATTTTAAAACTATGGTTGCAGCATTCTGGCTTAATACATTTGAAATATGCAAAATGGATCTACAGGCGATATTTATATGGTGTGCAAATGTTCTTCACACACCATAGTGTGCGAGTGTAAAAAGAATGTTTACAGCTGTAAATAATGTTTACATGGACTGTTATCTTCATTATGAGATCTGTGTGTATGTATTCATATATGATTAATATGGAATAAAAGAGAGGAATTCCTAGAACCGCCCCCTCCAAAAAGGCGGCTGACCAAAGAAGAAAGGTTACAAAATAGTCAACACTGCACTTTTTCACATGGTGGTTTCTTTCTGGTTTGGTCAAATGGAAATAGAAGACATGGGTGACTGAGCAAACAACATTCTGATAGCACTAGATTTATACACTGAATAATGAAGTATTATATGGAATAAGACTGTTATTGATTTTATTTGGTCAACAGCAACACTTAATTTCATTGACTTTATTAGGATTGCATCCAAGTACATCTGTCTTTTAATCTTTTGAAAGTGGTACTTACAACTCAAGGTTAACAGTGAAATTCTGTGTGTGCCTACTGAGAAGTAAGCCCTACCACATTCAGTTGGCCTTGCTCCCTATTATATGTGTTTAAGATTGTAGCCTAAGGGATTGTAGCCTTAGCAGCACATGAGGGGCCACCAAATACGTCATTTTTTGGATCTGAGGCTGGACACAGCATTCGGATCTGGAAATTGGAGTTCCAGACTCCTACTCTCTCCAAGCTGCCTGCTCTCCAAGGTCAGGAAAGCTCCTTCAGAGAGTGGAGAAAGAGTGTGTTTGGATGACCATATGCCCCTGGGTTTAGGGACTTATTGGCATCTCCTTAGGATTGTGTCCTAAGGCACATTGCTGGGATTGTGATTGAAGCAAATCTTACAGTTTAGCAGTCTGTTCTTGCTCTTTCATTTTATCATGCTGTTTAGAGACCATTTATATGTCTAATTTTAAATTCCCTTGAACTGTAAAGAAAATCTACACTCTAAAATGGACTCCAGGCTAGTTCACATACTGACAAGCATTGTATTTTAGCAATGTGAGCTAATACGGAAATGCTAACTGGGTTTTACATACTGCTGCTGCATTGACACTTGCAAGTTTTAATGAGATTCTGCAGTAGCCAAGGGATAAACATTACATACTCGAGCCAGCTTTAACTGCTCTAATAAATTATAGGTGGTATCGTACACATAAGTAGTACTATTGTTTCTTTGATTTAATTGAAAAACTCCATCAACATTCAGGCTCTTTGTACCATAAAGAAATTATTTGAAAATGAGTGATATGCAACGAATGGTGAGGCTTGTTTTATTTAACAATAGTTGCTCATAGAGCTTAAAATTAAAATGCTGAGATTCATTGCATCTTCTGTAACCACTCAGTATTCTGGTTCAAGAGTACACATTTCTAGTGATGTTGGAGCAGTCGATGGGCAATACAGAAAGAGTGACTTTTCTGGTTGTCTAGGATAATAGTTGCATGTGAATGTATGCTTTCCAGAATTTGTCACTATGAAATACCACACATGAAGTCATATTTAATTTGGTACTATAATTTAGGACCTGAATAATATGTTTTATAGTGCATATAGCCATATGCACATATGTATTGGTTAGAGATCCATGAATCCAAAAATATTTTCAATGTGTTATATTTACAATATTTAGTTTGTAATCTTAGAGATTTAATGGAATATATTGATGGTATTTAGGAAGCGGGTAAGTCTGGATAGAATCCTAATATCCCAATCTTTGGTTATTTCTGGAAAATATTTTATTACTTTGTTTTTATAAATAGTTACTGGTAAGCCAACATCAAATCATGGGTTAAGTGTTGAGCTTCTCCGTTCCTGAATAATCCAGCAGTACAGACCTGCATATTATACTTACAAGTTCCAGTTGGGTTAATTGGTGGTCATTTACCACACATGAAAATACATGTGTGTGTCCCTGCTATGGTATGCAAACCAGGTCAATGGGAAAGATTCATACTAACAGACTTTTCACACTAACATTTAATCCATGACAAATCTCTTCATATCATTTTGTAACATGCTCTGGCTCATTTTTGCTCTTTGTTTACAAAGGATTTTTCCCAGTGCCAAATTACTGAATAACTATAAATATTAAGGCAATTTTTATAGTATCTTATCTAATCCTTGTGCTTTCTTCTTTATATGTTGTGTACTATTTGCCTTGCTCTGATATGCTGGCAAGATTTTAAGAAAGTAGTGATTTCTATGTTAGTTCATAGCTGGGGGTTCTTACTATGTTTATAAGTATAGATGGTAGTGGTTGGGGATTGGGATCAAAATTCACTAGATGTAACTTTAATTGTACACAAGTTTTGTTGTCCTCAGCATGAAAATGCTTTAATTTCCAGAATTATTATGTTTATCCATGTGTAAGGATTACCCATACATAAAAGTCTTGTGAGAGGGTATAACCAATGGCAGGAAATAGCCGCAACTTCTGTGCTACAGCAGTCATACATCTCCTGCTTTTGTTGCAGTTATTTCTTGTGCATGAAATAACACAGCTTCTTGGTTAGATGGTCTTCCCTTACTGGCCAATAAAAAACCTTTTGATATCCCCCAAAGTTTGCTCACTGCTTTATCATGTTACTTGTTCCTATTTATGTGTTTGGAGAGATCTGCATTGGGTTCACATGAGTTTGCCTTCCTATGAATCCACCTGGCATATTTCATACCAGAGCTGTATGGTTTCGAAGACTTGTGGATTGTTTTTAAATTTGGTGTAGGAAATTTGTGCAAATTTACACTAATGTGCATTAATGCAAATGTGCTGTTGTGCTAGTGGAACAAAATTCTTGCACATCCAAAACAATTCTGATTCCATCTGTGAGTGGATGATGGCATGGCAATTCAAAAAAATGCTCAGGGAATTGATTGAACAATATATACGCATTCCTATTTCTAATAAAGTTCTTATCCTAATCTAGCAATTTTGTTGGTCATTTTGCAAAGTAATGTTTTTCATAGTTTTGAGAAGGATGGTATAATGGTTAGAGCGTTGGATTTAGATGTGGGAATGTTGGGTTCAGATCTCTGTTCCTGCAGGGATGACCTTGGGCCACTAACTATCTTTTAGATTAGCCTCTTTCTCGGGATGGTTGTGACTTTGAGGACGAAGAAGCAGCAAGCATTACAGAAGATCATCATTTTATTATAATAGATCCCTCTGCTTAGCCTGATTCCTTCTAAATATAGGACCCCCAGGTTTTAGACCTAGTTTAAATCTGTGTTCTTTAGACCTAGCTATTCTTGTTGGCTTGTTTGGCACTTTATTGTAGAGAAGGTGCAAATATCAATCTGTACAGTAATTAAGGTGAATGACGGGAGAAATAACATGGAAAAAGCTTAATTATGTTTAGGTTTTTGTTTGTTTGGACTTTGGTGGTTCAGACTGCTTTGGGTTTTATTTTGTTTTTGAAAAGCGGCATTAAAATTAGACCATAAAGAAAGGCATTGGTCAGGGACCACAGAGTAGTTTTTTTTAAAAACCCCTTGGAATCTAGACTTTGATTACTAGAAGTCTATTGTTTAATACATCTTGGTGTCATTCAGATGTTTGGGGTTCAGCAGTCCTGTCCATGCTAATTTGGTGATGAAGAGGGTTGAAATCCAAAACATTTGCAGAGCATCAGATTGGGGAAGGTTAGTTTAACACCAGCAAAGTAAGACTCCAGAGCTGAATATATTCCCCTCATATTTTTGTAAGAGAGCATTTGTTTAACCTGCAATCTTAAATGCCAGATTGGTACAGAACAAGACTTCCATCATCCATGATCTAATAGTAGATGAGGCAGCCTTCCTGGCACATATAACTGAGACCTGATAAGTTAAGAGGGAGGAACTATTCTTTTCCATCTGTGTTCACTGTCCTTGGTTCAGCATCAGGATAGACTTGAGGGTTGGGAAGAAGGGGATAGTATATAAGGATTCAATTTATCCCTGTATTTCTGATCACTAGGTCTGAACCTTTGCAACTTGTGTTGGGCCAGCAGGACAGATTAGGGATTCTTTTGTGTATTGCCTACCCTGCTGCTCAACAGACTTCCTATCTGGGTTGATTGATGTGGTCTTGTATGTGATGTTGTACAGGCAGTATGTTTTGGGAACATCACCATTCATACCAAGGGCACTTAGCCTGGAGTGGCTCAGGATGTCATGGTCTTCCTGATAACCATGGGACTGACATGTCATTGGTTCAAAGCACATAGTGGAAGAAATGTTTCAGCCAGCTATTGAGGTGGCAATCTGAACATGCAGGACTCATTTTAAGTCCTTTTGTCATGGTTAAAGGTAAAGGTTTCCCCTTGACGTTACATCCAGTCATGCCTGACTCTAGGGGGCGGTGCTCATCTCCGTTTCCTAGCCGAGGGAGCCAGTGTTTGTCCTCAGACAGTCTCCATGGTCATGTGGCCAGCATGACT